GTAGCCTACAAACATGCCCTTTTCACATCGTGGGTCCAACTTTCTTTTATCTTGTTTGTAAACAAAACACTCTGAGCCAAATGCTCTCATTTTAGACAGGTCTGGTGTTTTCCCAGTAAGCAGGTAGTATGGAGTCTGTCCAAGACGTCTGTTATAGCACCTATTTCTGATTATAGCAGCAGTCTGTACTGCATATGTCCACAACTCCTTAGGTAGCTTACTTTCTATCAGCATGCATCTTGCCATCTCAAACAAGGTCCTCCATGCTTTTTCTGCAGTCCCATTCTGATGGGGTGAGTAAGGAGCTGAGGTTTCATGTCTGATGGCATTCTTGCTGAGCAGTGATTGAAACACCGAAGATGTAAATTCTGTTCCATTATCGGATCTCAAATTCCATTTGATTTATCCATAAGGGGCAACATCAGCAATGAATCTCTCAGTAGCTTTAACAGTATCACTCTTAGCCTTAAGAAAATAAGTGAACATGGCTCCTGAATAGTCATCTGTGAATACAACAGCAAATCTGAATCCATCTTTACCTGCTGGCTCTATCGGCCCAGCCAGGTCAGTGTGAACAAGTTCAAGCACTTCTTTAGCCTTCTCGTCTAGATTTGTATTTCTACTTTGTGCAAACTTTCCGTTTATACACACTTCACATTTCTGATCAGCTTTCTTGCTTTCCCCTTTTATTTTCATACCTTTTGTGACATTTTCTAATTTCAGTATGTCATCATAATTACAGTGACCCAATATTGTATGCCACGTCTGAACATCATAACACACATTGCATTTATCAACTTTACTTTGCAGAGTACTTAGATAGAATAGTCTGCCATGTGTGTTAATTTCAAAAGTCATACCGTTTTTATGGATGAGCCGGTTCTGTCCTTCTTTGAAGATGACTGTCGCTCCCTGCGCTGTAGCCGCTTTCACTGAAAATATGTCCTGTGAAAATGATGGGACGTAGAGCACCTCCTTCAGTCTCATCTCCACATATTGTCCTGTACGGTCCTTCATGCACACTTTGGCGGTGCCTTTCTTTAACGCAATCCCGCTGGCCCGATCTCCATCAGCCAACTCCAGAATATGACTCTGGGGTGTGAAGTTTGGATCAAACTCTTCAAACATGCCAACATCAGTAATGATATGCCTTGTTGCTCCTGAGTCGACCATGAGGCCCTTCATCTTTACAGTCCTGCCCGGATCGTCATCCAGTCGCACCTTGAAAGCAAAGGTGTGGTCCTCCTCGTCTACCGCTTGCTTCACCTTGTCCTGCTTTCTCCGTCGACAGTGCGCGTCTTTGTGCGTGGCACTCTTACAGAAGCTGCACCACTGTCTTTGCTCTCGGCGCTCCCCTGCTGATGTACACTCCGCAGCTTTGTGGCCTTTTTGTCCACAGGTGTAACAGGTGAATCTAGTACTCCAGGTGTCTCTTCCCCTCAACTTCATCACGCTGTCCTCTTCTGACCCGGAAGCACCAAACTTTTCTGTGCTTTCGTAACTCCTCAGCTTTGTTTTAAAGTCTGCAAACGTTATGCTTTCATCACTCTGCGTAATGTGAACAGAAAATGGTCTGAATGCATCAGGCAGGCCTTTTAAAATCATTGCTGTCAATAAACCATCACTTAGTGTCTCTCCCGCATTACGCAGTGCCGTGATAGCTGTCTCTGCCCAGATAATATAGTCTGTGACGCTCTCATTCACACCCTTTTGGAGAGAAGTCAGCTCTCTGTACAAAATGATGATGCGCGGCTTCCCTTTTCCTGCGTAATGGTCGCGCAGGATCCGCAGCGCCTTCCTGCCATCATCTGCAGCGTCTCTCATTACCAGAGATAAACTCTTATCATCCAAGACCTGAATTAGAACAGCATATGCTTCCTCATTTTTGCTGGAATCCTCCGTGTCCTCTTCATCATCATCTGCAGCTGGACCGTCACTCAGGATGATGGATTTTAAGCCAAGCAGGCGCAAATGCGCTAGGAATTTTGTTTCCCACAGTTCATAATTCTTTTCATCTCCGTCAAAACATAAGCGGTTCCATCGGCCTCCAAACTCTATACTGGGCCCATAACCTGTTGGCGCAGCCATGCTGAATACGAGTTGGAAACCGGCATCGGAGGACAAATAGACACACAGTCGTATTTGCGTTTGGCCTGCAATTGTTTATTTTTGTGAATGAGCAGCCCTTTTATTTCTCACAGGTGTGTAGCTCCGCCCACAACCCGATTCCAGGTCATTCAATTAAGAACACAAATGGAACAAACAAATCAAAACAGTCAACAGCCCTTGTCACCCTTACCTTGTCCACAAAGAAGTCCAGAAAGTTGTTACATGACTCAGTGGAGTACTCAATCGCAAGGGGCTCATTGACATTTAAAATAGAGTCAACTGTCTTAAAAAGTATCCTAGCATTCTGAGAGTTTATGGAGATTATGTTTGCAAAGTACTTTCTCCTTGCATCTTTCACAGCCTTCTGATAGCCAATCCAAAGACCTCTCATTAGGTCAAGCGAGCTCTGGAGCCCATCCTTTTTCCACCTCCGCTCGGCCTTCCTGCACATCCTTTTCAGTGCTCGAGTACTCTCAGGTAACCATGGCTCCTTTGTAGCTTTAGGCTTCTTTACCCGTACTGGGGCTACCACATCAAGCGCCATGGTGCATGCTGAGTCAAAGCGTATAACAAGCTCTTCTGTGGTCCATGCTCCGTAGTCTTGCTCTGCACCCCCCATGGAAAACACTACGGCAAACTCAGCGGCTGTAGAGTCTTTTAACATCCGACAACGCTTCATCTGAGCATATTGTTGCACACGTTTGTGAGTCCAGGCCACATCAAACAATACTGGCCTGTGAGCTGAAAAATAGGCCTCTTGGACCTTCAGGTTTGAGACTCCTACACCCAGTGACAGCACCAAGTCCAAAGTATGGCCACTAACATGTGTGGATTGGTCCACTAACTGAACCAAATTAAAAGAGTCAGCGAGATTTAAAAAATCTCGGTTGAGAGGTTCCAACTAAATATAGTCGGACTCACCTCAATGCATGGCTCTGGCTCTGGAACCAGTTTCCTTGAGAGGGGTTGGACTTTCTACCACTCTGGAGTTGCTCCCACTGAGAGGCGCCGAGCAGGGGTGGGCATACTAGTTGCCCCCATCTTGGTGCCTGTACGTTGGGGTTTACCCCGGTGAATGAGAGGGTGGCCTCCCTCCGCCTACGTGTGGGCGGACTGGTTCTGACTGTGGTCTGTGCTTATGTACCAAACAGTTCAGACTACCCACCCTTTTTGGAGACCTTGGAGGGGGTGCTGGAGAGCGCTCCTTCCGGTGACTCCCTCGTTCTGCTGGGGGACTTAAACGCTCACGTGGGCAATGGCAGTGAGAACTGGAGAGGTGTGGTTGGGAGGACCGGCCCCCCTGATCTGAATTCGAGTGGTGTTTAGTTATTGGACTTCTGCACCAGTCATGGATTTTCCATAATGAATGTTGCAAGCCAACTTGCCAGACTAGCTCCACTCTTAATTAGATGTTTTTAAAATCTCAGGTTTGGCCTGCAGTCAGTGAAGTGGGCGTGACATTAATTGCCAGTAAACACCCTTCACTATGTAAAGAGATGATTAGCAATCACCAAATTACCCAGGGCTTCTAATTCTGACCAGTATACATTTAAGTAGACACAAGGAAGACTTCAATTACATCAGTACACACTCTCTAATCCTTCGGCTCTTGAATGCCTCAGGTAAAGATAGCTGTCCCTTTATGCTGAGAAAACAGCTAGTTTAACTGTAATAAAGGATGGTTGTAACAGCTAATAGCATTCAAACCTTTGGGATGAGATACCAGTAACCAGCGCCTCACCTTTCTCATAGATTACTGACAGAGGAGACCCCCAGAGACCATGGATTCTTTTTAAGTTCCTTGCAGTGAGAAACAAATTTTATTCCACAAACAGATAAAAAGATGAAAATCCCGTCGCAGCGGGTCACACAGACAAAAATCAGAAGCTCTCTTCCCCCCAAAAAGGCCAGCTCAACCTCAACTCCTCAAGCCCCTCACCAAAAAGCTCAGTCCATGACTGACTGACTACGTTTACATGCAGCCAATATCCGGGTTATGATCGGGTTAAGGTCGGTTTTCGGGTTTCTGAGTTGATCGGGATAACCCGTTTACAAGAAAGAGGCAACCCTAATTTGCATAACCCGTTTTCAATGCGGACTTTGGGGTAGCGTCAGGACGTATGGATGGCGTCAAGACGCAATATGCGTCATTTCCAGGTCATCTTGTTCCGGTGTCCGAGAAAACAACAACATGTTTCCCAGTTCGGAAGAGATAGCGAGCGCGTTTGTTTGCGCTTTAGTGCTGGTATTGACCCACCAGCAGCTCTTACAACGACTGTGCGTACTGGCCGTCATTCGAAGGAGAGTATGTGAGGAAGAAATTGCAAATATAGAGAGAGCTGCGCTAAACATATCCAACATGTCGAGGGTACCCGTTACCACCAGAGCCCCGCGGACACTTTGGATGAAGGTGCGCAGCCAGGACTGGTGGGAGCGGGTTGTAATGATGGAGTTCACGGACACGGATTGGCGTGAGAATTTTCGTATGTCACGTCAATCTTTTGCTAAACTTTGTGGTATGATGGAAAGAGTGATGGAGCCCAGCGCAGTAACCATCCGCACACCAGTGCCTACAGGAATGCGCGTTGCAATGGTGCTGTATAAACTAGCAAGCTGTGCCGAGTATCGTTTGATAGCAAACCAATTTGGAGTGCACAAGAGCACCGTGAAGAAGATGGTGTACCTATTCTGCCACGGAATGGTCGACTCTGTCATCAAAACACTGATCCGGGTACCCACTTTGGAGGAGGCATGTGGCATTGCACAAAGATTTGAACGTGCCCACTCCATTCCTCAAATCATAGGTAAAATATTTCCTGCTCTTATGTCTTGTTAATGTCAATAGTTTTCTGAGTAGGCTAAATGTGAACTATACTATGTATGTAGGCTACACTGCTGTGTGCATACTTTTACTTTTTTAATTGTTTTTTACTTTTTATCTTAGGTTGTGTGGATGGGAGCCACATCCCTTGCTTGCCTCCAAGTGATGGCTACAGAGACTTCATAAACAGGAAGGGATGGCCATCCTATGTCCTCCAGGGAGTCTGTGATGACAAATACTGGTAGGTGTTTTGCCATTCCCAGCTTTTTTATCCATGATTATGATTTGTATATAATTTTGACAGACACACATCACTAAGCTATATTAGAACCACTCACAAACATCAATTGAGAGGTTCTCTGTTCCACAAAACATCAACAGCTTATATGTACAAATAATTCTGTCATTACTGATCTGAAATAATTTTCCTAATTTTTGCCACTAATCACACCGCTCCAACTACATCTTGATTCACTGTGAAACATTTTCCTTAGTTTTTGGAGTGTGAGCTGCAAAATGCCTGGTTCAGCACATGACGCCAATGCACTCCGCCAGTCAAATCTGTTCAACAATGCACAATCCTTCCCAAAGGTGGGTAATGCATTAAAACTTTAGGTATTTAAATGCAAGTTGCATACCTGCCACATATCTAAGATGTATTATGACATAATTTAGGAAGAATAATATTTCTATCTGTCCCACTTTAGAGAGCAGTGCAGATCGAGGGGCAGGATGTGGATTTCTTCCTGCTGGGAGATCCTGCGTACCCGCTGTTGCCCTGGCTAATGAAGGGCTATCTGCAGTCCCCAAGACTGACACCACAAGAGGAAAGCTTTAACGTCTATTTGAGTTCTGCTAGAACAACTATAGAGATAGCATTTGGTCGACTGAAATCTCGTTTCCGTGTTCTGTTGAAGCGCAGTGACTTCCATTTCACTTTCACACCATACGTGGTAGCAACCTGTTGTGCTCTACACAACTTTTGTGAGATGGAGAAGGAGCATGTTAATCCCAGATGGGCAGAGGAGGCCACATCAGTAGAAAGGCTGTTTCCACAGCCTGTGTCACAGGTAAATAGGGCTGATAACAGTGCAGCCTCAGCTATCAGACGGGCCTTAACAGATTACCTTGCTGCACGTGTCCCACTCCGTAAGCGCTTAGTAAGAGCATGAGTGTGCAGGACGAACGGGTCTGATAGGAAACAAACAACGTTAAACTGTAAGCTCGATATTTGTCAAACAGCTGTATTTTCTAAGTTTTATAAGATGTTTATCTGCCTTCTCCTTTGTTGCTGTGCACTTCTGAAAAAGAACAGTTATATGCAATGCTCAAATAAAATGTCAACAAATACAAGTTTTCTAGTAAGTTTAATAAAACATTGGTTCTTTAATAAAGCACATAACAAAATAACATTCTGGTTTTGCTTTTTACATGTGAGGTAAAACAGAGGTTCAAGTAAGGCGCTATGGCGCACCTATCCTTCCATAATGGAGAATAAATACATCAACTACTATGGCAGAACAAGGCTCGAGATGTAAATATATTGCACATATGTGGAACAAAGAGTTTTTGAAAATGTTTGTTACATAATAAAAAAAGAAGGTGTACAAAAGCTGCAAAAAAGGTGCAAAGTTTAAAATTCTCACAAAAATAATTTTCTACAACAAACTTCATAGGAAATGCACAAAAACAACTGTCAAATAGATGAATGGATTATAAGGTGGGACACTACAGTTGGCAGAATGGTGTAGAATCTTGGTCCTCGCTGTGATCATGTTCAGGCTGATTGTTATGAGAATAGGGAAATCGATGTGGAGGAGCAGGTGGTTGCCTGTTATCAAAATGGTTGTTGTATGGCTGAAACATAGGCTGTGAATGAGAATTACTAAACATGGGTTGAGGAGTTGGCCGCTGGAATAATGCACCTAACCCTGTGAGGAGTTGTGTAACAACCAAACCCATTGAACGGGTCGATTCAGAAAACATTTGAGACATGAATGCCTCAGCACTGGCTTGTCTCAACTGCCGTTGCTGCTCAAACCATTGGTTCTGCGTGTGCTGCATTGTCACCAAGAACTGTTGATGCTGAGTCAGTGAAGCAGCTCCACGGTGCCTGAACCTGCGACTTGACCAACCTAGAGCAGACATGACAGGCCTTAGAAAGTGTTGGGTAAGTTCTATCTTAGTGTTCGACTATTATCAATTTTTGCATTCTTATGAAACTTGTGGATTCTAAAAGATGTTTCTTTACCTGTAGGTGACGTGTCAGAATGTCACCTGCGCCTGCATCATAAACATCTCCCTACAATTCTGAGTTTATTAAGAATGCAAAAGTGACAATAGTCCTTAGTTTGGGTCCACGGTTATATTACATAATATCTCATAATCACTGCAATCAAATTATCCACTAAAGAAAGGTACTATTTTCAGACATTACACAAGGAGGAGGAGTGACCTGGGGTTACAATACGCTATAACCAGTTATGCCTTCAGTAACAGTATTTCGAAAGCTCACCAGGAGTAGCTGCAGTGGTATTTGATGGCGGTGTAGACTGGCTAGGCACAGTCATTGAAGGTCCACTTTCTCCAATATTTGCATCTGGCCAGAAATAAAAACAAGCAAAATGTTACAGCTTGATGTTAAAAACGATGTTACTGATAGGTTAAACACAGATGGGTCAACGCATGTATCTACCTCCGAGAGCGAAGCCCTTTGTTGGCATATGTATTGGATTGAGCAAGTCATGTGACTTACCTGTGTTTTCATCATCATCATCCTCTCCTTCAAGATGTGAGCCACTTCCACTTGTTGTATCGCTTGCTGTAGGTGTGGCTGCGTCTGTCTGGTCAAGCGTTCCATAACTGTCTGTAAAATAGCATTAATACAATTCGTATGAAATAATAATAAAAAAAAGATGTCTTTTTACACATCGTGAAACCACAAAACAGCAACAAACAGACTTTACATTTATGTGACGTTTACTATAATTATTAATCTGGGGCAGTGCATGTTAGGCAGCATTTGTGTTACAAATTAGTTACATTCCTATTTATTATAACAATGGTGCTAACAATGTGGGACTAAGTTACGTAGCTACTGTGCTTGGAGAAGGCGCGCAAACCTACCTTGCTGGTCGGTTGACTGCTCCTGTACGTCCTCAAATCCAATATCTACCCCACTTTCTTCAGCTGTACTGATGGGTCTATTGCCCAAAATGTCGTCCATTAAATCAAACTGTGGAAAAGAAGATGGATTGGACCCGCTAGTACTGTTTTGTTTCTTCGCCTTGTAGTAGGCCTTTTTCAGCGTCTTCCAGCGGTACTTCACTTGGTCTGGTGTCCTTACAAACCCCGCTTCGCGTAACTTTTCGGTTACCTTCTTGTAGATTTCGCTGCCTCTGTACTTTCGGCCGTCTATGAAAGACATAACATTCATACTTTTCACCAGACCGATGAACACAGAGGTTTCCTCGTCACTCCAAAAGTGTGGTGCTGTGCCGCGACTCGCCATGTTGCTCCCAATTGTTTACTTCCGGTATTCTGGCGCATACAAGATGTGTCGCTACTCAAAAGACCAAGATTCCTTGCGAACAGAGCAAGCGCAGAACACACGCTCGGATGGGGGTATCCCGATATGCGTTTACACGACCAAATATTCGGGTTAGAAAAGGGTTACCCCAGGTGCAGTAACCGGGTTTTTAAAAACCCGGTTATGAGCAAATCCGGGTTTTTGACAGTGTTTACATGGCCGTGCCGAACCGGGTTATTGCGAATATCCGGGTTTTAAAAGGGTTACTGGCAGCATGTAAACGCAGTCACTGACTCTCACTCATCCCATCAAGTTCTCTTCACAAAACCAGTAGCTTCCTTTTATTCACTCTGCCCCCCTCCCCTCTGCATTATTCAAGGGTTGCATCTCCATGGCAACACCCTCATCCTGCTGCTGGAGCTTAACGTCTGGTCACGTGTTTCCTCTTCTCCTTGCGATTACATCATCTTCTTCGGCAGGCTTTGCTGGCTGCATTCTTCTCCTGAATCAGCCCATCTCGTCTCTCCTTGGCCTCTCGTTACCTGGCCCAACGTTGCCCCTCCTTCTACTCAGCCTCCTTCCTCTCTCGGCCTTGGGGAGGAACAGTAAATCTTCTCTCCTTCTTACTTATTAGTGGGCTTATCGATTTTAAGAGTAGATGATATGTTTATTTACACCATTAGCTCATTTGCACCTGGATTCTTCTCCAAGATAAGGGACACCACTCTTGCCCCCTCCCATTTCAGAAAGTCACAAAGGTTACAATAGAACCGTGGGACCAAACCAGCTCAGAAAATTTACGACCTCAGGGGCAACAGAGTCACACACACACACACACAGTGACAGTGTGGGGGCAGTGCGCTACAAACACTATCTATAGTGGGGATGCTGTGCTGCTGATCTCTACTCAGGATGTTGTGGACAGGTGGGCAGAATACTTCAAAGACCTCCTCAGTCCCACAGACATGTCTTCCAGTGAGGAAGCAGAGTCTGGGGACTTTGGGTTGGCTTCTCAAATCTCTGGTGCTGAGATCACTGAGGCTCTGTCCACACGTAGCCGGGGATCTGTCAACATGTAGATATTTTTCTACGTTTTGGCCTGTCATCCACACAAAAATGGAGTTTTTTCACACGAAAATGGATGTTTTTAAAAACTCCGGCCAAAGTGAAGATCTGCGTTTCCTCCGTTTTGCGTGTCTGCATGTGGACAGACAAAACCGGAGTTTTAAGGTCCACAACGTCACTTTCCGCGACAAAAAAATGCTGACATCACGTGTGCGACCTGTGTTTACACTAGCCAACAGCATGGATGCCCTCAGAGCTGCGCTCGCTTTATCAATTGTCCAAGCGCTGTTTGCTTGTTTGTTTTTGCAAGCGGAATTACTGCTCCTTGCGGAAGACCACAGACGAAGGACGAGGTTAAGAACGGCTATTACCCGGGACCTGGCTTCTCCAAGTACTGCCGCCTACAGGTCTGGCATGTCCTTAACAACGTATTTATCCGGGTACGTGTGGACAGAGTTTTTTTTTAACGAGTTGGTGTGGATGCAAGTTTTTGGAGGGGCGAATATTCGTTTAAAAAAAAAACCTGGCTACGTGTGGACTAGGCCTGAGGTGGTTAAAAAGCTCCTCTGTGGCAAGGCTCCAGGGGTGGATGAGCTTCGCCCGGAGTTCCTTAAGGCTCTGGATGTTGTGGGGCTGTGTTGGCTGACGCGGCTCTGCAATATCGCGTGGACATCGGGGACAGTCCCACTGGACTGGCAGACCGGGATGGTGGTCCCCTTATTTAAAAAGGGGGACCGCAGGGTGTGTTACAACTACAGGGGATCACACTCCTGAGCCTTCCTGGTAAGGGGTCAGGGGTTCTAGAGAGGAGGGTCCGTCGGATTGTTAAACCTCAGATTCAGGAGGAGCAATGTGGTTTTCGTCCTGGCCGTGGAACACTGGACCAGCTCTACACCCTTAGGGGGATCCTGGAGGGTGCATGGGAATTTGCCCAACCAGTCTACATGTGTGTTGTGGATTTGGAGAAGGTATTTGACTGCGTCCCTCGGGGGGCCCTGTGGGGGGTACTCCGGGAGTATGGGGTACCAGGCCCTCTGATACGGGCTGTTAGGTCCCTGTATGACTGGTGTCAGAGCTTGGTCCGCATTGCCGGCAGTAAGTCGGGCTCATTCCCAGTGAGAGTTGGACTCCGCCAAGGCTGCCCTTTGTCACCGATTCAACATTTATGGACAGGATTTCTAGGCACAGCCAAGGTGTGGAGTGCATCCGTTTTGGTGGCCTGAGGATCAGGTCCTGTTGGCTTCATCAGAATGTGATCTTCAGCTTTCGCTGGAGCGGTTTGCAGCCGAGTGTAAAGCAGCTGGGATGAGAATCAGCTCCTCTAAATCTGAGGCCATGGTCTTGATTCAGAAAAGGGTAGAATGCCTTCTCCAGGTCAGGGATGAGGTCCTGCTGTCATGGTCTGCGTCTCCCTCAATTGTCTCCTTGTGTGCTCCATCCTCCTCTAAGGATCGCCTTACATATCTCCTTGTGTTCCTCATGTGTCCCCTGGTCTGCAGCCCCTCCAGGTTATCCCTCCCAGGTCCTGTACTCCCGTTGGTCTCCCCTAGTCACCCCTCTGCAGTTTTCTATAAGGTTCAGCTTTTCATTTAATTAGTCTCTTTTAGTGTGTCTCTTTCCCCACCGTTTTTTTTTAGTTCTCCTTCCTTAGAACATTAGTTAGTTAGCTTGCTCTTCTTGTCTTTAGGTTTTGTTTTTGCTCTTAGGTCATGTTAGTTTCCCCTCCTCAGCTCACCTTCCTCTCCCTGATTAGTTAATTGTTTTCACTAGGTTTCTCTCCCCACGCACCTGCAGCTTATCTCCCACTCATCCTGCCCCCAGTGTATTTAACCCTGTCTGCGTTTCTGTTTGTTGTTGGGTCATTGTTTGTGTCAGCCTTGTCTCGTTCCCCTCTCTAGATTGTGTATCTCTTGGTTTCTTACGTTCTTGGATATCTCTAGGTTTTGTTATTAGGACTTTTTGATTTTGGTTTTTGGCTCCCTGCCCTTTTGGATTTATTCTTTAATAAAGGATTTTTACGTTATTTCTACCAACCCTGTGCCATCTGGCATCTCTGCATCTTTGGGTCCTAATCTCCTCTTGGCTCACAACATGATACCTGCCCCAAGTGGAGGAGTTTAAGTATCTCAAGGTCTTGTTCATGAGTGAGGGAAAACTGGAGCGTGAGATGGATAGGCGGATTGGTGCTGCATCTGCAGTGATGCGGGCGTTGTACTGATCTGTCTTGGTGAAGAGAGAGCTGAGTCAGAAGGTGAAGCTCTCGATTTACCGGTCGATCTACGTTCCTACCCTCACCTATGGTCATGAGCTTTGGGTAGCGACCGAAAGAATGAGATCGCAGATACAAGCGGCCAAAATGAGTTTTCTCTGAAGAGTGGCTGGGCTCTAGCTTAGAGATAGGGTGAGAAGCTTGGTCAGT